TGTCAGGTCGTTTAGGAAAGGAATCGCGCGAGATCGTGTTCTCCAAGAGTCCTGTGCCGAGCTCACCCCATTCAGGTCGGAGCGACCAAAATCTCCAGTGTGACTTAGTTTCCAAGGTTCGATCCTCAAACCTTAAAAACTAGGGGGCTTCTGTTATGCCTGGGAAAATAAAGGACTGACGTGGGAAAGTCACGTGAAGGGTGACCTGCTCCCGTCAGAGCAACACGCACACGTCAGGCCCGCCAAATGATATGAAGCTCACACGCGTCCATTTCGCTGCAATAAATCGTGCGAAGTCAGCTTGGGAAGAGAGCAATGGGACATAAAGCCGGATTATATCCTGACAGTCACACCAACCCATGGATTTAATGATGATTACACGCTTCAGTTAGATATAAAATGAAGAAGACCCCTTCATTAAGGGGATTCGGCCATTTTTACATAGAAAAACTCTCTCTCTCTCCTGTAAACACATTTACTTTTTCCAACTCTTCTGTAAGTCAGTCCGCTTTTGCGACCTGACCCACACTAATATTAATACAAATCAGTGGACGTAGGACTTGCTTCCTTAGCATCCGAACCACTTTAAAAACTCTCTTTACATTTATTTCACTGCATACATTCATTATCACGTGTGTTTCTTAGCCAATCAACGTTACGCACGTGACAATTCGTTGGTGCCAAAACCCAGCATCAACAAGGTGTGAGTTCAAATTCATGCTTAATTAACATGACCAGCAAGACTACGAGACATTGGTGGCTACTCTGACTAGAGAAATCTCATTTATAATATTGGAAGTCAATAACCATGTAAACCCTCATTTTTGTTATTCTAAAAATTTCAATTTTATAATTTCTTTCAACCAGTATGAGTTCAATTAAGAGAAAATTTAAACTAATCTATTGTTTCAACATGTTGGTACATTTTTCATTGCGACAAGAATTTGAGGCAAATCATTTTCAAAATTTAAATCTTAATTGAATGATCGTTGAATCTTTCTGACAAATGAATGGTGAAATAATGTGACAATTAATATGTTTATATAATCTAATAGTAATTATCTCAATTAAGACAAATTAAATTTAGGATATAAGTTAAATAAATACTAGTATACTCCCAACAAATAACAAAAGTGATATAATGTGTTGAAATTATATAAAAGAGCTCCATGCAATGTTTTTCATGAGCAATCCCAGATGGACATGTTGAAAGTGAAGAAAATTCTATGAATAAACTAAAAAATCTTAAAAGCAGAACTTCTCCAAGTAAATATAATTACCAAGAGTGGAATCCCCTGATAATCTTCTGAAGTCAAAAATTAGTAAAATTGCCCAATCATAACGAGGTATTAATGTACTTGTATTGCTTAGGAGTCTTCAATTTTTCAATCGGGGAGGTCAAGCAACTTATGTTCTTCATACTTCAACCAGAACCCATGAGACTTTCATTCTAAAGAAAGTTAAGCATATATAGCTTAAATTCTCTCTATATATAATCCAATTGGAGATACACAACTCTTCAAGAAAAGCCATAGTGAAATTTGCCTCACTTGAAAACTCCATCTCTAGATTCTTAAGACATTCTGCTAATATCTAAACATGGCATTTTCTAAATGCTGCCTTGTTCTATGTTTGTTCATGTCACTATCATTGTCGATCATTGATACAAGTCTAGCAGCTCGCCGCCTTTGGGACACACCGCTGGCTCCACCACCGTCATTGACACTGCCTACAATTCTACCTCTGTCTAAGCCCACATTGCCTCCACTGCCATCATCGCCAACTTTGCCTAAACCACATTGCCACCAATGCCTTCCACTCCATTGCCAACATTTCCAACTCAACCAACTCTTCCCAAGCCCACATTGCCACATTTGCCATGCACCCAAATCCCATATTTGCCTAATCCAACATTGCCTTCCGTGCCTACAATCCCAAAGGTTGCATTGTTGGAAAATTTCCTAATTATGGGCGAACATGAATTATGTTTTGATTTAATCAAACCGGTAAAAAGATAGTCCAATGAGATATATTGATTTTGTAATTTAACCTTTATGATTCAATGCATTGATTTATATTCTGATTTGGTGATTAGTTCTTACATGTGGTATCAGAGCCACACATATTAGTTTATAAGATATGATTTTTGAGGTTATAATCAGGATCAAAATCAAAATTGATTTTAGGGTTCATATTGAAAATTAGGGTTCTTGAATTAATAAGGAACCCAAATTGGGGCTTTTATGTATTGAAACCATATATGGTTTTTTCCGGCCATTAGAAAGACTTTTTATGGCCATTGAAGGGTGGAAAGACTTTTTTTTTTTTTTTTTTTTTTTTTTTTTGCTGGAGTGGAAAAATACAGATCTGGAATTTTCCACATCGCAGGGGTGAAATTTTTATTTTTCAAACCTTTAGGGGCTAAAAAGCCTTACAAAAGTTGAGGGTGATTATGATATTTATAGAATTAGGGTTAGCCAACCCGATTAAGTCAAACCGAGTTAACCCAACTTGGTCAAACAGGGTCAACCTGACTTGAAACGTCAATATCAAGTCAACCTAACTCGAAAAGCCGAACCGGGTCACTCAACCCGACCCCGTAAACAAGGGTCAACCCGACCCAAAAAATCAAGCGGGTCACTTGACCCGATTAGATCAAACAAGGTCAAATCGACTTGGTCAATGGGGGTCAACCCAAATTGATCAACCCAGATCGGCCCGACCTAGTAAACTCGGATCGACCTAACCCGTTGACCATGCACGTAGGTGGACTTTCGACGTGTGATAGAGTATGACAGCGGGTGGATCGATACTCCGGTGCATGACAGCCCGCAAAGAGGTGTTTCTCGGCACGTGTTGTGTGTGATGGTGCATGAAGAAGTTTCTCAACGCGTGAGTCTGGATCTCGGCTCGTGAGGTGGTATTCCCCTATTACTCGGCGCATGTAGTTGAGCGTGGGCCTATTTAGGTATTGTTGGAGAAGAAATTACATCATGTTTCCCTCTATTATTGTGGATCCATCTACGTGTAACAATTATATGGAATATAATTTATAAGGAGTGATTGTTCTTTTTTGGTTGGAACAATTGTCAAATTAAGAATGTCAGAGATAATAAGGTATTATATCTCATGAAATCTTAATTAAGGCAATTAAAATACAACAAGATTAAAATTGAGATTGTCCGAGATAACTAGGTCATGAAATCTTAATCATGACTATTAAAATCCAAAAAGGTTATTGAATTAAGATTGTTAGAGATAATTAAGTGTGTATCTCAGAAATCTTAATATTTAAGGCAATATTATTTAGTATCATTAGAACAATTTTGTGAGTTGTTAGAATGTTTAATCGCCAAAGTGATGCATTCATTGAAGCTTAGCTTGCAAGATTTTGCATTAGATAAATGATACATTATTTAGTTTATGGCAATATTACTCAGTATCATGAGAATAATTTTTGACTTGTCAGAATGTTTATTCGCCAAAGCGAAGCAATCATTGAAACTTGTAAAATTATTCATTTGGAAAATGATACATTCTTCAATTTTAATGCACATAATTTCCTGCCAAAGTAGGTTATTATATTTATTAAAATTAAAAGGTTGCACGAGATTGAATTTTGGGAAATACACTAGTCCTGAAAAATTCAATACACATTTAAGTGGATGATTTTTCAATTAACATGCATTTTCCTCTTTAGTGGAGAATGAACTATGACCTAGAAAGTTTTATCTGTGCAAAAAGGGCAATAGTCTTTTGAATGTCATATGTTCTCATAAGTTATTTTTGATAAACTAATGTGTAGGGTCCTAATAGCATGTCATTTTCTTTGCCAAAGTGGAGTTAATGATGATGCACCAGGAATCCCTATAAGATGTAGCTTATCAAGTTCTAAGCTACTTTAATTATTTATTGCCTATAGTTCTATACTTGGGATACTAATAGCCAAGGGCGTAGCCAGAAATAATGTATAGGGGGGTCAAAGTTAAAGGAACAATACAATTTTAAAATAACATAAGCATGAGTTTTGTATTTATAAAATTCTCATTAACTAGTGCATTTATAATTGTCCTCGACGGGATTTCATCTTTTGAAAGTATTGTATAATGACTTCATTATCAATACTATCAAATACATCTTTCTCTATATACACAACTAAGCTATCATTCAACCATTGATCACTCATTCTATTTTGCAAACGATTCTTCACAAAATTCATTGTTGAAAATACTCTATCTACACTAGCAGTGGTAACGGGTAGAATCAATGCTAATTTCATCAACAAATAAACTAATGGAAACACTCTATCCTTCTTAGTTTCAACCATCATTTTTGCCAGATCTCCAATCCCTTTCAATCCCATAAATTTGACATTAGAGTGCATATCCAAAATGTAAACATCAAGTTGAGAATCAAGTGCCATGAGTTCTACGTCAGAAAAATCATCAGGATAAAGTTCGGCAAGGCGTGTCAATTTCTGTTAATCAAAAGCAACAAATGATTCATTTGGACATAAACATGCCAAACAAATAAGCAATTCAGTGTTTTCCTCATTGAAACGATTATTCAACTCTTGAAGCTGCATATCTAGGACATTATAAAATAATTCAATGCGGTAATGATGCACGTTTGTGATACCTTGAGCCTTAAGTTGTGATCGCCCTTGAATAAAAAACTTGTCATCCATATTAGGAACATCAATGTCATGATTGGCACAAAAAGAATAAACTTTGCTTAATAAAGTCTCCCATCTATTATCCCTCATCAATTGTAAAGCTTGCTTACATGCTTCAACCAAATTCATAGCATTTACAATATCTTGATCTTTTCTTTGTAATGCTTGAGAAAGTTCATTTGTAAATCCAAGTATATCTTTCATAAAAAATAGACTAAACACAAAGTCAAATGATTGCATAAATTTAAATATGTTTTTTTGCATGAAATCTTTGCTCAGAGTTTGACCCATCTTTTGCCACAATTTCAAGAACATCGATAATGGATTAAAACATCAAGATTATCCTCATTAACGTAACATAATGTGAGCCCCAATGCGTATCACTGGCATGTTGTAGATTAGTCTCTTGATTGAGACCTTTCCCACTTGAAAGTTCACCATTAGAAAGAGCTTCAATAACTTTACAAGCTTGCTTATCTTTAAGAAGATTGCAACGCTTTGACGAAGCACCGAAAATATTAACCACAATCGCCACAATATTAAAAAGATCATTAACATCATCATGGTTCTTTGCCAAAGCCACAAGAGCCAACTGGAGTTGATGGGCAAAATAATGAATATAATAAGCACATCTATTCTCTTTCAAAACCAATGTCTTCAAACCATTAAATTCTCCTTGCATATTACTAGCTCCATCATAACCTTGTCCTCGTAGTCTAGAAAAATTCAACCCATGCCTTGAAAAGAAATTATCTAGTGTTGCCTTGAGTGAGAGAGTTGTGGTACTAGTAACATGTTCAACACCTAGAAAACACTCCACAACAAGTCCATTCTTGTTAATATAACGTAAGACAATAGTCATTTGTTCCTTCCTAGAGATATCTCGAGATTTATCAATCATTATAGTGAATAATGAATCTCCTAAATCTCTAATGATAGCACTTACAGTTTCATTTGAAGCAGCACTTAAAATGTCTTTTCGAATCTCAAGTGATGTCAATTTGAGATTATCAGGAGCATTCTTGAAAGCAATAGCATTGTAATCTTCATTATGATTAGCAAGAAATTATAGAAGCTCGAGAAAATTCCCTTGGTTGCTTGAATCATAGGATTCATCATGACCACGAAATGCAAGTCCTTGCCTTAGAAGAAAATGAATACAGTCAACTGTAGCATTTAAACGAGTTCGATACTTTGTTCATGCTTGAGAAGAATGTCGATAAAAAAGGTCTGAATATGTTGGTCTTGATTCAATAATGTTTCACACATTCTTCGAGCTTGGTTATGAGCACTATTAGAACCTCCAACATGAATATTCAATTTTTCTTTCTTTTTCCAATTTGAAAACTCTTGACCAACAGAGCAATCACCACCCCCTTTATCACCATTTGGCTTAAAAAGATAGCAATAAAGACAAAACGTAGCATCTTTGGCTATGCTATATTCCAACCATTGTTCAAATTCACTAAACCAAGAAACAACAAAACGTCTTGAAAATCCACCAAAATACCTAGAAGGAAACTCATGGCCCTTAGGTTGACAAGGACCCCTTTCCAAATATATTATTTGAATTTGATCTTGAATATTAGGATCATAATCTGAAATTTGGGGTCTTAAGCCTGGATCCGTAAGAAGATCTCACAAATCAACATCCACATTTTTACTTGAATCACCAATATTTTCCTCTTGTTCAAATGATGAGATCATTGTTGACTTTCTTTTGAAATATCTCTCCATATATTTCAAAACAATAATATATTATTACTTGATAGAGAAAAATGCAACAAAATAAGCTATGTACCCAGTAAAACCAAACAATAACAATAATCTATGTATACAATAATAATTATTAAGATAAGTGAAATTACAACTACTACAAAAATTTATAAAGCTAATAAGTTAAAGTATTCTAACAATACATACACATCACAACTCACAAGTATATCTCTTTCCTTTTCTAATTTGTAAGTACTTTAACAAAAATTAAATTAAAGTAATAGAAATTGAATTGAAATAGATCTTAATGCAATATTTTTTTAAAAGATATCTTACATTATACACATTGGCTAAAATTCAATTGATATGTGTAAAAAATCTATTCAAATAACCAAACACTTGTACAATTAAGTCCACTTTTTCATAACACTTGTAAAATAATTAAAATTAACTCCCGTTTGAATCAAACACTTTTTTATAACAAATATAAAAATGGGTAAAATAATGTCGTCCCAAGAATGAAGAACCCATCTTCTCCATAGAAAAAACAACACAAAATTGCCATTGGCCAACTCGAAAATCCATTTGAATCAAACACTTTTATATAACAAAGATAAAAATGGGTAAAACAATATGGTCTCAAGAACTCATCTTCTCCATATAAAAAAAAAAAACACAAATTCGGCTATAATGGTAAAACAATGTGGTCCCAAAGCCAACTCCAAAATTCATTTGAATCAAACACTTTTATATAACAAAGATAAAAATGGGTAAAACAATATGGTCTCAAGAACTCATCTTCTCCATATAAAAAAAAAAAACACAAATTCGGCTATAATGGTAAAACAATGTGGTCCCAAAGCCAACTCCAAAATTCATTTGAATCAAACACTTTTATATAACATAGATAAAAATTAGTAAAACAATGTGGTCCCAAGAACTCATCTTCTCCATGTAAAAAACAAAAAAAGGGCAATATGGAATGGGTAAAACAATGTAGTCCCAAGGCCAACTCCAAAATAAGTTTAAAAACTATCTTCTTACTTCCTCTAACTTCAGTATATTACAAATAAATAAAAAAATGGATGCAATTTGTGGTCCCAATGACAATTTCATCTTCCTAAATCCTAATCTATAATTTAATCTTAAACTTTTAAAATATAATAATACAAACATAAAATGTATTACTTGAAAAATTGAAGAAAAAAGGGACTTGTTGGCTTGATAGGAGGAGAAAATTACACTTGTGTGGATAAGGCCTTAAAGGAAAAGAATTGGCTTTATAGGTTATTGAAGAGAAAGAAGACGTCTGAGGGAAGGAGAATGATGGATTTACTTTTAGCAGGAGAACAAAGGGTTTACTTTTAGTTTCACAACCCCCAAAACAAAAAAGTGTAATTTATTGGGTATAAATATATAATGCAGCTTTTTGGTATTTTAATTTTATATAGGGGTACATTAGTAAAAAAATAGCAAAAAACTTTCGAAGTCAGGTGAGGTTCAACTGACCCTCCTTGACACAACCCCCCCCCCCCCCCCCCCCCCCCCTCCGCCCCTGCTAACAGCATGCCATTTTCTCTACCCAAAAGGGAGTTAATGGTGATGCACCTAGTGTACTTATGTAAAATGGCTTATGAAGTTTAAAGTTATTTTAATTATTTATTGTCTATGATCCTAAGATATTAATAACATGTCATTTTCTCTGCCTAAAGGGGAGTTAATGGTGATGCATTGAGAATCCCTATGAAAAACAGCTTATAATATTTTTTTTTAAAGCTATTTTAATTATTTGTTGCTTGTAATATTGAACTGTTGCATCATTTTTTTTAGTGTTGGAATCAAGATAATGAGTCAGCCCTGAGAATGTTCCATAAGTCATGTTATTGATAAGGAAATTTCATAATTCCCATGTTCTCTAATTTATTATTATTATTGTTTTATATATGTGTGAATAGTTGTATATTTGTGGGAATATGATTAAAGTGAATTCGTGTGTATGTTGTTAAGTACATGAATTTCATGTTTGAAGGTGTTGGTACAAAATTTTGCACCAACCAGTGAGATCCGTCGACCTTGCCGAGATCAGAATCTATGTGTGCGTGACTAGTGATAATCAGCGATGAATATGAATGAAATGAACTAAAAACAAAGAGATTTTTAAAGTGGTTCGGCCAGGTTAACAACCTACGTCCACTGTGTTTTTGTATTTGTTGTGAGAGCTAACAATGCAATTCTTATATGAAATTCATGACCCCCTTCTCATTGCCTGAGAGGAGTTTATATACAAGATTTGTACAAAGGAAGCAACAAAATTCAGGGGATTAGAACTAATTTGAATCATAAATCCAATATCCTCGCGATTGGGCGCTGTGATTGCGCAGTGATCACTGTTGATCTAGTCATTCCTGCAATATCTGGGATTTGAAGTAATCTGGGATTGATTGAATGATTCCTTGAATTGTTCGCGACTAGCTTATGCTGGGTCGAGCTATAGTTCGATGAGCTTATGCTAGGTCAATCAATCGTAGTTGTTGAGCTCATTCTGAATCGAGCTATATCCTCGAGTTGGCCCGAGCTTGGCAGAAAAACCACACACAACGTCTGCCCCCTAGTATTCGATGCTTGTTTTGGGCTTCAAAGACTATTGCTCGATTTGATGCCAATGATAAGAGCTTGAAAATACACATTTATTTAGTGGTTTTTGGGGATTAATTGTGGGAAATTAGGCTTAATTTGGTAAAGTTGCTTAATATTTTCATAATTACCTTTAACAGGATCACGAGTGTTTTTGAGTGTTTTTCAGGTTACTAGTGCTTAAATGTTATGCTCGGATGAAGAATCATGTTAGCAATGGAATGAGTGATGAGTGGAAACAAACGGATCAAGAATCGGAGTTGAATTGAAGAAGTTATGGAAGTTGAAGTAAAGAGAAGATTCTAGATTACGTTTCAGCTTGTGCATGCCTCGGTATTTTGAGAATATCTTGGGGTGTAGAAATTTTATTAAGACGATTCTTAGACCGTTGGAAACATGATTCCAAGGGCTACATTTCATATGTTTACAACTTTTTCAAATTCCATTGTTATCAAATCTAAATATCAACATCTCTGAAGAACAGTGGAATGATATGGGAAGAAGGGTAGCAGCTACTATGCTGCGGCACACTTTTTCCAGTAGCTATTGTGCTGCATTATAGTGCCGTGGCATAGTCACGGAAGTTACTAACTTGTTATCCATTTTTAGGTAGGAGAATAGGGTTAAGGGTTCTAAATCAAAGAGAATTAAGGAAAAACAAAACCCTGACCCTTGTGGGATATAAATAGAAGTCTTTTAGTATTATTTGGGGGATTCTTTGGTGAGAAGAAAGGGAGAAAAAATCTGCAAAGAAGAGAAGTAACAGAAGTTCTGGAGCTTTGATTCACAATATAGAGAAGTTTTCCCTGTTCTTTTCTTATAAACTCATGATGAATGTTTTAATAAACATGGTTGCTTCTTTCATGTTTATTATGAACTAATTTTATTCTCTAGGGCTAAGATGTAGCCCAATCTCTTGATTATTATTGATCTTTGATTGTTAATTTTTATTAAGAATTCTTCCTAAGTTTCACTATTATACCTAATGCTTTTGATTCTTAAGGGCCCAAGAATTGAATGAACTAATGGACTAAGTTGCGATCGAGAGATGATAATTAGTTGGTCTACGGTAGTAAAACCATAAGTTGAGCAAACGCTAGAGATAGGTTACCGCGACTTGTGAGATTTTGGTAAACTCCATAGAGCATAATGATCTCCAATTACTTAAATCTGATTAGAGATAATTCGGGCTAGTAATTAGGGTTTAATTTGATAATTGTTCGAGAGAAAGTTATTAGAAATTTAGGGAGTTTGACCTGTAGAAAGAGCTTAATAAAATTAGCATAAGAGATCGATACATATGAATAAGAGTTGGTGTGAAGTCTATGCCCTAGGTCTAGTCATCTTGTTTTTACCCAAACGTTTATTTTAATTGTTCTCGATTCAGTTTTCTTTTTAAATTCAATTGTTAATTTAGTTTAGGTTGTCCTTGATAAAATTTGGATTGATCAAATAGTAATAGGATAGTTTAATTGATAATTGATAATAGTAATTCCCTTGGGTTCGATATTCGTATTTTATATACTTTGTTACTTGCACGATTTCGTACACTTGCGAAAATCAACAAGAAGTTTTTGGCGCCTTTGCCGGGGAGTTATATTTTTTCAATATCATTACGAACTATTTAGTTGCTAGTTTGATTTGTTTTATCTTTGTTTTGAAGTTAATTTTATTTATTTATTTTTATTATTAGTTTTGTTTCGCTTATTTTGTCGTGTGTTTTTGTTTTAGATCCTGGAGAGCTTACGTTCAAGAGGTGGTGGTGATCTTAATCCACTAGATTTTGAGATTGAGAGAACCGCTAAATAGTTGAGGAAAGAAAAGAGGCAAGCTGAATCTAAAAAATCAATGGCTAACACATGAATTGTCAATCCTAATATGGGAAATCAAGAGAATAAGAATAAGGATACCTTAGGAGGAAATGAAATGGGTGGAGCAGCAGTGGTTCAGAGAGCATTGAAGGACTACTCTAGTCCTACTATTAATGGGTGTTATTTAGCATCAGGAGACCACCCGTTCAAGCGAATAATTTTGAGATTAAGCCAGCAATTATTGGAATGATTCAATAGTCGGTCCAATACGCTGGGTTACCTAATGATGACCCCAGCTTGCATATCGCAAATTTTCTAGAGTTATGCGACACATTCATGCATAATGGAGTATCCGATGACGCAATTAGGCTAAGGCTTTTCCCATTCTCTCTTCGGGATAAAGCCAAGGCTTGGTTGATTTCTCTGCCATCTGGGAGCATCACAACCTGGAACGAGTTAGCTCAAGCATTCCTCAGTAAATATTTTCCACCTGCCAAGTCTGCCAAACTGAGGAGTGAGATTACTAACTTTTACCAATAAGATTCAGAGTCATTGTATGAAGCATGGGAAATGTATAAGGATCTCTTGCGGAGGTTCCCTCACCATGGTTTACCACTCTGGTCGCAAGTGCAAACATTCTACCAAGGGTTGCTACCAACTATTCAAGCTATGATTGATGCTACAAGTGAGGGAGCCTTGAACAATAAAAAGCCAGAGGACACATACAATCTGATTGAGGTGATGGTGAACAATAACTATATGAGGACTCTAGAGAGAATTTCAATAAGGAAATCAGTGGGAGTGCACGAATTTGACAGTTACAGTGCATTGGCTGCTCAACTTTCGAACATCCAGAAGCAATTAGGTAATGTGTTAAAAGTAAATGCAATTGAATCTTCTTCTCTAATATGTGACCTTTGTGCAGGAAATCATTCATCAAAGGATTGCCAAGAAGGGAACCCGTTTGCTCAGCCTGAATAAGCCAATTACGTCAATAATTTCCAAAGGGGACAAGGGAATCTATATTCCAATACATGTAATCTAGCATGGAGGAAACACTCAAACTTATCATGGAGCAACAACAATGAACAAAAACAAGCTCCTGTTTTTCAACCTCAAGAGCTAAAATCTAGTTTAGAGAATGTGTTGACCAAGTTCATTGAAGAGACAAGCAAGAGGTTTAAGAAGACAGACGTCCTGGTTCAAAATCAATCAGCCTCTATTCAGAACCTTGAGACTCAAATTGGGCAAATCCACAATATTTTAGCGGGAAGAGTTTAAGGGACATTGCCAATCGATACAGAGAAGAATCCGAAGGAGAGAGTTAATGTTATCATACTGAGAAGTGGTGAGGAGTTGAAGGAGGTAAGGAAGGAAGACGAAACAAAGGAAAATCTCGAAGAAGAAAAAGAGGGCACAAGAGAAAAAAATGTCAAAAATGCCCAAGCTTTGACAAACAATGACTCGACACTCCCGTATCCTCACAGAGTGCAAAAACAGAGATTGGATAAGCAATTTTGTAAGTTTATGGACATTTTTAGAACTTTACATATTAACATTCTTTTTGTAGATATGTTAGAGCAAATGTCGAAGTATGCGAAGTTTCTGAAGGAGATTATCACCAAAAAGAGGAGATTTGAAGAACATGAGACAGTGATGCTTACGGAAAAGTACAGCGCATTGTTATTGAAGAAATTACCACAAAAGCTCAGAGATCCAGAGGGTTTCACAATTCCTTGCACAATAGGTAATGTTCATTTTGATAAAGTTTTATGTGACCTAGGGGCTAGTGTTAATCTCATGCCATTTTCGATTTATAAGAAACTAGGCCTAGGGGAAGTAAAACCAACCACAGTCCATCTTCAACTAGCTGATAGGTCTATAAAATACTCGAGGGGAGTAGTAGAAGATATATTGATCAAGGTAGATAAGTTGATTTTCCTAGTGGACTTTATTGTTCTTGACATAGAAGAAAATCGGGAAGTACCTCTAATTCTAGGAAGACCCTTTCTAGCTACGGGTAAAACTTTAATAGATGTTCACCAGGGGAAGCTAATCTTAAGAGTGGAGGATGAACAAGTAGAGTTTAATGTATTTGATGCCATGAAGTACCCATCTGAGGGCAATACTTGTTTTGAAATTAGTGTCCTTGATAATGTCATTGCCAAAACCATGGAAGAAAATTACCCCAGCTTCCCTTTAGAGAATTGTCTAGTTCATGCAAGAACAAATGAAGATGAAGTGGATGGAGAAGAGTTGAAAGGGTGTTTAAGTTTCTTAAACTCTCTACCATCAATGACATCCTCGCCCACTAAGAAGTTATTTGAGATTAATGCAATAGAAAGTCACTCCAATTCATCAATAAAGGAGCCTCCGAAACTCGAACTTAAATAACTTCCATCTCACTTGAGGTATGCATTTTTAGAAGATTCAAAGTTTTATCCTGTTATTATTAATGCTTCTTTGAGTGATGTAGAGGAGGAAAGGCTATTAAGGGTGCTACGTGTTAGGAAACGGCCCATATACGCAGCGGAAAACAAAATCATAATAACAAGGATCGTTCCCATTGAGCCAAGATCAAAGGTACAATTTTACAGTTTATGTTAAAATAGAAATCTGCAGAAATTAATCATGAGTTTAGAAAAACATACGCACGTTTGGAGGCTCCTCCAAATTTGTCAATGAACGTTTTGCTACCGACCCAAGTGTAGGATCGAACTTATGAAGTCTACACGAAGACAATCACAAAGAACTAAGGAGGGATTTGCTAGATCCTCCTTAGCTTTAAGATAAAGAAGAAAAATCAATGAAATTGATTTTAGGCAAAAATGGATTCTGCTGTGGGAGAGGAAATGGGGTTGCTGTGTTTGTGTTTTTCAAAGAAAAATAAACTAATGAAAAATCACACACACTTTTACAATTACCTTTTCTTTTATAGTGTTACTTTAATGCCCTATTCCCATATGGAATAGGCTTGGGCTCCAACCCAACACCCCATGATACCAAACACTCCCAATTAGATATTTTATTTTTTATTTCATCATTATCTCAATTAAAATCAATTAATATATATTTAATCTATATATTAACATTTAATAATAATGATGATTTAATTAAATATATGTGAACACATATTTAAACGTAATTTCACTTATTTAATTCTTATAATAAATTAAATAAAGGCTAAGACCTCAGCAAATTTAATTGCACTGTGAAATTACCAAAATACCCTTTCGCCTTAAAAAGACAAAAACGCCCTTCTTTTTTACTGAGTCTTAAATTATCTTCTATGTGTGTGACCCATAGGCTCCTCATCATACCAGCAGTGTATAGTATCGCGATTAACACCAATTAATCATCTTACTAATACACAAACGAAGATTGGCCCCTAGCAAGGCATCATGGCCACCTGATAGATTCAGATTCAGCAAAGTAGCTACCTGTCAACGATATGATTACCGTACAATTCGATCCTTTCATCATTAGTTATCTCAACGAGACGAAGGCATAAAAATAGTGTCAACCTTTGGTTACTCTCGATATTATGTATTTAGTTTTTGGACCAATGACATGTATTATAATCCGAATAGAGCAATGACTCAATCCCACTATGGCCACAGTTTTAGTGTCATTGCCATACATTGAATTACTCCGTGAGATAACTTCTCTTGTACCCGACAGTGATGAATCCTCTGTCAATCCACCATAGTCTTGATAAACTCCTTGATGCAGCTAATCACCACCGTATTGACAGCTCTGAATAGAACTACATTAGACTAGTGTCAAACTGCACCAATCGGTGCACAAGGCGCTCCGGTGATCTCAAGTCTAAGGATCACATGTACCACCATTCATTAGAGGATTTGTTCCATAGACACTGGGGTTAACATCCATATGGAATCCTCTGGTGGGTCAGTCCAGTGAACTTGCTGCGGTGTATTCGCCTACAGCAAGCACCCATGTGTTGCACCAAGTTATCACCAAACAACCTTGACAAGTGAGATCAATCACTGCCTTTCGATGGGGTCGTTCAACACTATAATAACCTTACCATATTATTTGTGCCCTTACTTCAGAATAATATTGGGGCTACGGACGTTTCTAGAATGGCCCCCATATGTGCTCATAGGGTTCTCACTATCAAGATTTGAAACACTTGATGCCTTCGTCACGGTTCTACCATTCTAAGGACATATATCAATACATATTGCAATAATAATGATTTATGCGATATAGAATAAAATGCCTTTTATTGATTAATGAACATTATTACAAAGAGTCAATTCTACAATAATTGATTGGCTCTAGGGCATCTACTCTAACACTATGGACATACAAGACAGCTATTGGATCGACAATTGCAGACATCAAAGGTATAAGCCCATCAATTTGCATGCACAAGATTTTAATGGAAGAAAGTTACAAGTCGACGATGCAACCGCAAAGAAGACTCAATCCAGTAATGCAAGATGTGGTGACAAGAGGTTTTAAAGTTGCTGGATGCAGGAATTGTTTACCCAATTTTGGATAGTGCATGGATAAGTCCAGTCCAAGTTGTACCAAAGAAGGGAGGAATGACTATGGTGCAAAACGACAACAATGAACTTATTCCAACAAGAACGGTTACAAGGTGACTGTGATGCAGGAATTGTTTACCCAATTTTGGATAGTGCATGGGTAAGTCTGGTCCAAGTTGTACCAAAGAAGGGAGGAATGACTGTGGTGCAAAACAACAACAATGAACTTATTCCAACAAGAACGGTTACAGGGTGGCGAGTGTGCATTGATTATCGTAAGCTTAACTCTACGACACTCAAAGATCACTTTCCACTTCTGTTCATCGATCAAATGCTAGAGAGATTAGCAGGCCATGCATTCTATTGTTTCCTAGATGGATACTTAGGATACAATCAGATTGCAATAGCACTAGAAGACCAAGAAAAGATCACATTCACATGCCCATATGGAACATTTGAATACCGAAGGATGCCGTTTGGACTTTGCAACGCACCAGCCACTTTTCAACGTTGCATGATGTCCATCTTCTCAGATATGATGGGAAACTCTATTGAGATTTTTATGGACGACTTCTCTGTGGTAGGTAATTCCTTCGACTCTTGTTTATCTAACCTTTCTTTAGTTTTGCAGAGATGTGTGGAGACCAATCTAGTACTAAATTGGATGAAATGTCAATTCATGGTACAAGAAGAAATCGTACTAGGCCATAGAATCTCCTTCAATGGGATCGAAGTGGATTGAGCAAAGCTGGAGGTCATCGAGAAGTTACCACCCCCAAATTCTGTGAAAGACATTCGAAGCTTCCTTGGACACACCGGTTTCTATAGGATATTTATCCAGGACTTTTCCATAATCTCTAAATCTCTTTGTGATTTATTAGCTAAGGATACACCTTTTAATTTTACTAAAGAGTGTTTAGAAGCATTTGAGTACCTAAAAGCTAAATTGATATCTGCTCCTATAATTGTTGGGGCCGATTGGGAATTACCTTTTGAATTAATGTGTGATGCTAGTGACTATGCAATAGGAGCTGTATTAGGCAACGAAAAGGTATAATTTTGCATGTTGTTTACTATGCTAGTAAGACATTGATTGGACCACAATTGAATTATGCTACAACAGAGAAAGAATTTTTAGCTGTTGTTTTTGCAATTGACAAGTTCCGTTCTTATTTGCTAGGTACAAAGGTCATCGTACATACCAACCATTCAGCTCTGAAGTACCTTCTAGCAAAGAAGGATTCCAAGCCAAAATTTGCTTAGATGGGTGTTACTTCCTCAAGAGTTTTACTTGGAAATCCGAGACAAGAAAGGAACTGAGAATCAAGTAGCGGACCATCTATCTTGACTGGAAAGAAGGGAAGACGATCAAAATGACGAAAAGCCTATCAATGAACATTTCCCAGATGAGCAATTATTTGCGGTGCAAGATGGATCTTGGTTTGCTGACATCGCCAATTACTTAGCAAACAAGGTGCTACCTCCCGAAATGACATACCAAAGGAAGAAGAAATTTTTCTCCAACTTGAAACATTACTTTTGGGAGGATCCATTCTTGTACAAGCAATGTACGGATCAAATGGTCAGGAGATGTGTGCCAGAGGAGGAGATGGAGAATGTACTTTGACATTGCCATTCTCTAGAGGTCGGAGGGCATTTGGGAGCAACACGAATAGCCTCTAAAGTTCTTCAATTAGGATTTTTCTAGCCTTCTCTCTTTAAAGATGCATTTAATTATGTTCGAGCTTGTGATATGTGTCAAAGGGTTGGGAATATTTCTAGGAAAAACAAAATGCCTCTTAGTAACATTTTAGAAGTGCAAATATTTGATGTATGGGGAATAGATTTCATGGGACCGTTTCCATCTTCTTTTTCTAACCGTTTCATTCTTGTGGCTGTAGATTATGTCTCAAAATGGGTGGAAACTGTGGCACTACCGACCAACGATGTTCGTGTCGTAGTCAAGTTCATAAAGAAGAACATCTTCACAAGATTTAGCATGCCTAGAGCTATCATCAGTGATGGAGGAGCTCACTTTTGTAACTGACAATTTGAGACATTGGTTAGTAAGTATGGAGTTACACATCGAGTTGCAACACCACATCATCCGCAAACAAGTGGGCAAGTGGAGGTGTCTAACAGGGAGTTGAAGAGAATCCTAGAGAAAACTGTGAATGCCTCTCGGAAAGATTGGTCCGCCAAATTGGATGATGCACTATGGGCGTATAGAACGGCTTTCAAAATGCCAATAGGGATGTTGCCATATAGGTTAGTATATGGAAAAGCATGTCACATGCCTTTTAAGCTCGAGCGTAGGTCTTACTGGGCTATGAAGATACTAAATTTTGATCCAAAGGCGGTAGGTGCGAAGAGATTGTTGCAACTCAATGAGATGGAGGAATTTCGCCACAAAGCATATGAAAGTTCTCGGATTTATAAAGAGAAGACAAACTGTGGCATGATAAGCACATTGTGAAAAAGGAGTTCAGAATAGGAGAACAAGTTTTGTTATTCAACTCGAGACTTAGACTTTTTCCAGGAAAGTTACGATCAAGATGGTCCGGACCATTCATTGTAAGTAAGATTTTTCCGCATGGGGCCATCGAAGTTCATCATCCGGTGAAAGGGACATTCAAAGTCAACGGACAAAGATTAAAACCCTATGTTGAGCATGAATCAGAAGAAGATAGAGTTTCGATTTTTCTCCACGAACCAAAGTGAACATAAAAAGGCATCAAGCTAAGGACGTTAACTAAGCTCTTCGTGGGAGACAACCCATGTTTTAAATTATTTTTATTTTATTTTCCTTCATTTTCATTTTCCATGCATTTATTTATTTTATATTTTATTTTTAATTTTTTCGTAAAAAAAAAAAGA